AGGGCGGCCGAACCGGGCACCTGTTTCAGATGAAAGAGCAAATGCAGGAGAGCGTGGTCACCTTCACCCGACTGTCTTCTTAAAAAATGTATTTTTATTGATTTCAGAGAGATGAAGGGAGAGACAGAGAGAGAGAGAGAGACATCAATGATGAGAGAGCATCATGGATCGGCTGCCTTCTGCACGCCCCCTGCTGGGGATGGACCCTGCAACCCAGGCCTGTGCCCTGACTGGGAATTGAACTGTAACCTCCTGGTTCATAGGTCGATGCCCAACCACTGAGCCACGCCGGCCGGGCACACCTGAGTCTTAATAATCGTGTGTCACTCCTCCGGAATCTGAAAAGGGCCCAATGGGGCGCGGGGAGGGGAGGGGAGCGGAGGGGGCGAACCCCAGGACCAGCAACAACACAGCTGCCAGGTGCCTGGGAGGTAGTTCCCGGAACGTGTGGAGCCGGCTCTGCACTGGGAACCGCCAGCAGGTAGGCGCTTCCCAAAGCCCTCAGCTGCCTCCCTTCCGGACCCCCTCCTCCTGGGGGAAGGGCGAGCGGGGAGCTGACCGCAGGCCGAAGTGGGAGCCGGCCAGGAAGCCTGGGGGCCAGGCAGCTCTCCTCCCACCGCCCTCCCCAGCGCCGCCCTGAGTCATCCCTTTAATGCGATTTGTGCCCGTTGAACTCCTGCCAGCACAGAATCCTCGCATGCGCTTTGTGAAGATTTCATTCTCTTCCGGCGATAGGTTTGCTGAAGCCCAGAGGCCCAGGTGGCCAGCTTCTGCCCTACCTGCCACCCACACCTGCACCTGGCCTTCCAGCTGCTTCCCCTTGCGGAGCGGGGAGCCGGGCTGCAGTGAAACTGGCCGAAGATGGGGAGGCCCGTGGAGGGGGGACCGGGCAGGGTCCCTGTGGGACTCAGGACTCACACCCGCTGGCCGGATGCCAGGGGTAGTCTTGTCCACCGTGCAGCAGCCCCAGCGGGAGTTCACAGCCGGGCGGGGGGGGAGGGAGTCACCGCCCGCGGGGGCATCGCGGCAGCTCAGGAGGGTCTGGCCAGAGGCAGCGGAAGGAAGCTGTGTGTGTCCGGTGCCTCCATGTCCCGTGCACGCGTCGCCTGCGCCTGGTTCACGCAGCTCCAATGAGCCCCCAGGCTCTGCGGGAGGGACCCGGGCTGCCTCCGTGTTCCAGGCAGGTGCCTGTGAATGTCGGATGTGCACGTGGCTTGCGACAGGTCCCGTGAGCAATATAACCCCTGTGCTTACCCAGGTGTTTCATGCTCTCCTGAACTCGATGGCTCCATCCGGCATCTTTCCCTTCCAGGCAGAAGAACTTCCTTTATTTTTAAAATATATTTTTATTGATTTCAGAGAGGAAGGGAGAGGGAGGAGAGAGAAACATCAATGATGAGAGAGAATCATTGATTGGCTGCCTCCTGCATGCCCCACACTAGGGATGGAACCTGCAACCCAGGCCTGTGCCCTTGACCAGAATCAAACCCGGGATCTTTCAGAACACAGGCCGACGCTCTGTCCGCTGAGCCACACCAGCGAGGGCAGAACTTCCTTTGGAATTCATGCCGTGCAGATCGGCTGTTAGCAAATTCTCCTTAATCTGAAAATGTATTTTGCCTTCATTCTTAAAGGATATTTTCTCTGCATAGACAATTCTGGGTTAACAGCCTTTTTCAGAAAGCTCTTTGAAGGTGCGCTTCCACTGACTCCTGGCCTCCACTGTTTAGGATGGGAAGTAAGCAGAACTCACACAGTCGCGTCCTTGTATGTGACACATTGTTTCTCTCTGGCTGCTTTCAAGATTTTCTGTCTTTGGTTTTCAGCAGTTTCACTCAGACGTGTGGCTTTCTTCGTGTTTATCCTGCGTGGGGTTCGCGCAGCTTCTTGAGTCTGTACACTTGTGTCCGTTACCGAATTTGGCTCGATCCTGACTTTCTGGTCTTACTCTCGATTTCCCTTCTATGAAGCCTTGCGTGATTGCCCTCAACTGTCGGACGCTTTGCTTATTTTTTGTCTGCGTTCCTCTCTGCTCTTCAGATTGGGTGCTTTCCATTGGCACATCTTGCTCTCCCTGTAATAAAGAGGCGGTGGCGACAGGAGTGAGCACCGAGCCTGGCCTGCACCACGCAGCGTCCTCAGCCGTCCACCACCCGTGCTGGCCGTCCCCCGCCCGTGCTGGCCCACGGGGGGCATGTTTGGTCTTCTTCATCGGGCTTGATGCCTTTGCAGTTTTCTTTGTAGCAAATGGGCTGTTTTTCTTTTTCTTTTTTTTAAATTTTGTGTTGCTCTAAGAAGAACCGTGAAATGGCTCCCAAACTCTTCTTCCTCTCCCAACGGAAATGCTGCAGATCACCACCTCCCCCCAACCCCAGGCTTCAAAGGACACTTCTCCACCGATTCCTCCCACTCTCCTCTCCCCTCCCTCCTGGGCAGGTTCCAAACTCATCCCAAGGAAACCACCCAGGTCCCCCCTACCTGTCTGCATTGGTTGCCTCTCTTCCTCTCTAACCCTAACCCTCCCCCGCCCCCATCCCAACCTCCCAGGGAAACTCCCCAGCCCCTCCCCATTGAAATGCCCCCAAGCCCGACTCTCCTCCCCTCCCCTCCCCGTCCAACCTCACGGGCCCTCCGGTCACTGGCTCTCCCTGTGCTCTCTCCCCTCCCAGGTTACGGGCACGCGGCCCCCGGCACGGACGCGGGCAAGGCCTTCTGCATGTTCTACGCGGTGCTGGGCATCCCGCTGACGCTGGTCATGTTCCAGAGCCTGGGCGAGCGGATGAACACCTTCGTGCGCTACCTGCTGAAGCGCATCAAGAAGTGCTGCGGGATGCGCAACACGGACGTGTCCATGGAGAACATGGTGACGGTGGGCTTCTTCTCCTGCATGGGGACGCTGTGCGTCGGCGCGGCCGCCTTCTCGCAGTGCGAGGACTGGAGCTTCTTCCACGCCTACTACTACTGCTTCATCACGCTCACCACCATCGGCTTCGGGGACTACGTGGCGCTGCAGACCAAGGGCGCCCTGCAGAGGAAGCCGCCCCAGCTCGGCCCGCAGTACTTCCACTCCGTCTCCTACAAGATCGAGGAGATCTCCCCGAGCACACTGAAGAACAGCCTCTTCCCGTCGCCCATCAGCTCCGT